CCTCCCCCTCCCCCTCCCCCTCCGCCGCGATAATGATGATAGGCCTCGTGCGATCAACCGCCGCCCGTTTTATGTGCACCTTTTACGCGAGCGGATTCTTTTCACGAGCAGGTGCCCCGGCCGGCGACCGGGCGAGTCTCGTCTCGATTCAAACGGCGAGCGCCGATAAAACGGTGATTTTGTGGACCAGAAGATGCGGGACTGGCAAACACATGAATATATAACGGTGACGGTTTCCCGCGATATAACGAAATGTGACCGCGCGACACAAGGTGCCGACGGTTGCGAGCGGTATGTTAGTTGCAATTTCTCACTCTTTTAGTCGAAGTTGTAGTCGCGTAATATCAACGTAACGTTACGCGAGCATTAAGGTGAATGTCCCAATTAGTGCACACAATGTAACCTGTAATGTAACATCTCGATTATGTTACCTCGACATAAATAAGGAATGTAACGTTATATTATGCGTTACTCCCACGTTATACAGCGATTAGATATCTCGGTTTGCCGGGTTCCTCGCGGGGAATAGAAAAGTCGGTCGGTGTGATTTTCCGTTGTCCGGCGACGACGCGATCGCTGTCTTCGGAAGAAGCTCGTTTGTAGGAAAGGAAAGATTCCCGCTGAAGATTTCCATTCGGACGATGTTTCCCGGCTGTCTCAGACGAACTTTAATACGATCGAATCCTCAGACCGCTCCTCCGTTCTGTCGTGCGGTATCTGCGATAAGAATTTCAGGCAGAACTCGAGCCTTGAGCTCTCAACCTTCCGCAAGAAATCGATCGATCCCGATTCTTCCGAAACTCGACTGGTGATCGGCCCACTTCCTTACGGCGTAAGGCATTAAAGTCTCACGCCTGAAATTCTCACTGAAGACGCCGCTACGCGAACCGAGATTTCCCTCCCGCGTGACTCTCTTTCTGACAAAAGGGCTCGATAAAGTGACGATTTCGCGATGGCGCTCGAGAGAACGCGCGGACGAGGAACTCTCCGTCGTGTCGTCGTACCGCGCATAATGCCGTAAACTGTAAACGTAATCGCCTCCGTCGGGCTCAAGTTAATAACCTGCGGGTCACCACGCGACCTTGGATCGTTCTCTTCCTGATAGGCACAGACTGCAATCGATTCGACGATCATCAGCGTGTCCCGAGGATCGAAGGTCATGATCGATCAATGTACAATGAGATCTGATAAATGACCGATCGTTATCGTGCATCGGTGAACTCATTGCGCTTCAAAGCCTCGCGCGCTCCTTCCCGCACCTCTCACGCTCCATGCTTAATTGACGTATCACAATTCGCCCGGTAATTCGCCCGTCGATCCACGCCGGGTTCGCGCCTTCGTCGGGGAGAAAGACGAGCCCTTTCATCGCAATCACCCGAGTCCGAGTCGAAATTTTGAACGCTACTCCGACGCCCCTCGGGATAATTGCGCTTACTTCGACGGTGAATCGATCGAACCCGATTTCGACGATATCTCGATGATACCGACGCTTCCTCACTTCTCTCTTGAACTCTTGAATTTTACAGATTGAATTTTAACGCCACCTTTCTGGCATTCAAAGCGAAAAGTTGATCGTTTTGATGCGTGATATTGACAAAATTTCGGAAAAATACTTTCCGCTGCGACCTCACGAAAACCCTCAAAATTCGCGGGTCTCTGAACTCTCTTTGACGGCATTGTTCTCAAAATCGCGACCCAATAGCCAAGTTTCGACCACGGATTTGTGTTCAACGGACGAGAACCAAGTCGGAAACGCCTGGTCTCATTCCGGATATTCCGTCACAGACAAAAAGGTAAAATTTTTCACCAGTTTTTGTTACCGACGACGAACCGTTGACTCGTAAAAGGACAACGACACAGGTCGGATGGGCGACGGGTCGCTTCTTCCCGAAGCCGGCGATGATGAAGCAAGCGAGTCCCTCGATGGAATTCGTCTTGCAGTAATGAGCCGAAAGCGTCGTTCGCATCACGACGACAGCAACGACAAACGGACGGCGACGGTGAACGACGGTTAACCAAGGTTAGCATTAAACCGCCGCGCGAGTCCTTACTCACCTCGGCAGGATTCAAGCTATTAAAGCTCACTTTAACAAGCACTTACACACTCACAGCTAGCTACCGTTAACCCTGTCGCTTTTTTTCCCTCGACAACGGGCTTCATCTCTCTCCCTCCCTCTCTCTCTCTCTCTCTCTCTTTCTCACGGAGTCTCTTGTACTCGTGTTACCGCATCGATGCGGTACAGCTGATTGGCTCGATTTCAGAACGCAATGATGGTTATCCGCGCGTTCTTCCTTTCCTTCCTTTTTCCCCACTTTTTCCCCGCCACGAGTCGCCGCGCTTCTCCGACATTCCGATTTTTCTTACGTTCTCCCGATCGCTAATATCTCCTCCCGTTTACACCGTCTTCGCCGGGAGGGAGGAGACGCGTCTCGCGACGAAGTCGTCCCCTTGTCGAGCCCGATCTTGTCTTACAGGATAATATGATTAAGCCGCGGCCGGGCAAATAAGTCGTCATGGGCGGGCACGCGTGTGTCGCACAATATTTCGATGCAAATTGCACGCCTCGACAAACACGCCTCCTACGATGGAGAGGCAAGAAAAAAGAAGAAGAAAAAAAAATACTAATACCGCTTCTAATAAATGACTAAGCCGGGGTAAGTGGTAATTCCTGGTTTTATAGCCGTCGCGGATCCGAGATCTGTTGGTCGCTTGCTCGCGGGGTCAAGCGGGGAGAGGGGAGGACGAGAGGGGAAGGGGGCGCAATCATTCCCGTGTAAATGCGTGATCGTGAGGAACATAATTCAGATAATACCGCGCCGGTGCGTGGTGAAAATTAACGTGATATACGACCCGCGCTATTTATACATATTACTATAAAGTTAAGGATCAGCCGCATATTTCCGTGCTTATCGGTCGCGGTGACGAGGCGACGTGAATATCGAGCCGCTTCTCCGCTCGATCTTTTTATCGTTCGCGCAAAAATGTCGCCGATGGCCGAGTCGAGCGAACGGGAGAGAAGGAGAAAGAGCTCCGCATGGATCGGAAGATCCTCTGAAGATCTGTTCGCGGAAAGTCTGCGGATTATGGCGTACCATTGCCATCGATCTAGACAATGCCACGCGTTTGAGAGAAAACGACATTAGTGATTAAGTAATTTTCCGTAATTACAGTCCATCGGGAGGTGAGAGATGATGATGATACTTGCGCACCTCTCTCTTTCCCTTTTTTTCCTTTTCTTCTTCTCTCTTTCTCTTTCCTTTTTAATAACGCCTTATCGTAAACGAACGAATAAGCCTTGGGAGCATTGACGTATCCTGGAGGAAAGGTCAGGATCACCACTCGAGTCTTAGTCTCGCGTGCTCGCCGCGGGGAAGCGCCTCTCCTCGTACCCGGACAGGTGGTGACAGGTGCGAGAGAGCCGGCTATCGTCTTCGCTTGTACTCGCGTGACAGCATCCAAGGGAGACTGAAAATTACGTCACTTTCCATTTTACGCCATTTCTACTGGTCTGCCTTGATGAGCTGCGAAACGAGTCGCTTCGGGTAACGAGCCATACGTTATCCTCCTCTTCCGCTACACCGCGAAGCGGGCATTAATCGCGTCGATCTTGCGGATTAGTCCGCGAATTGGAATTTCTATTTCGCTGGGCGATCCTTGGACGTGCGATATCTTCATTTTATGTAAACCGCACTCGGCGAAGTAAGGTAGCGGTGGAACAGCACCAAAACTGACATAGGTACGGTAAACCGACATATCCATGTTCCTCGGCCGTAAAGTATTAAATCCTGTCGGACGGCGCGTAAACTTGTCTATTGCGCACGGTCAGTCAGAAAAAGTTTGCAAAACGCATTTTTCTCTGGTAAGTTTCGGAAACTGTGCCGAATATGAGAATTTATTAAGAGTCCTTCTAGTAATCTTTAGGAGTCCTTTTAATAAACTTGACCATGATTACCGGCGAATGCTGTCAAAAATCGATCTACCCTCTCACGAAGTTGCTTTCTAGAAGCGTCGGTCCTCAAATCATATATTTCGATAGAAAAGTGTTGCTGATTCACTTCCGTACGCATTAAATTTTAATTTCGCACCTTCGACAAGGCCTCAGAGCCCAGGAGCAAAAAATATGTTGGCTTCCGTTGGCTTTTCCTCCGCGTCGATTTTTTGTGTGTTTTTTTTTCCATCGCAATATCACGATGGTCGACGCAATGGTCGATAAGAAAGGAGAAATGAGCGCGACGAGCGACGAAAACGACGAAATGGGAGGCGCTGTTTGTCAGCGAAATCTAATGAGATGGCTACGTGACTCGACGTTACCGGCAAACGGGTTATAACGTATTCCTAACTAGCCGGGTCGCGTAAATATATCACGGTCGACCTTGCTGTTTGCGCACTTTACGCGCGACCGTGTCCCTTGATTATATTTGCGAGAGTAATGTTCTCGTGATGAAGAATTTAACTTCATTTGCATTCGAAGCCTCCGGGATGGACGTGGCCTCGTGGCCTCGGGAGAAAATACCGAGCGACGCTGAAAACTCAGGCTGAAAAGCGGCTCACTTTCCGTTTCGCGTTAATGGCAATCGCTCGCTCGCGGTGCGTCGTAATTGATCGCCGCCCCTTTTCCGCTCGATCGAGCCAAGGAAGGGAAGATAGCGGTAAAGTAGACAAGTAAATGGCCGCGTAATATCGCCGGTATACACGCAGCCGTAATCTCGTCTGTTCATACGGTTAACATTCCAGTTTACTGGGTCGCGTTCACGCGTAT